TAGCCTAAGTAAGGCTTGTTTGTACAAACTTTCATTAACTAGGTACTGTAAAAATATGATGTATTTTTTCATATCATAGAAATGTTAGTTCAAATCTCATTTGTACATGAAACTTTTTGCACTTTTTGAAGTGAAACTTATTAAGGCGCATTAACATGAGAACAAAATTTCACAAACTCAATTAGAAGTTTGATGGAAGTTGGGTTTGGTAAGTGTAAACCAAACCTAATTATATCCTGAAGTAATGATTAATGGCAGGGCCAGAGTGATTCACAAGAAACCTAGTGTATGAAAAAAAAAACCGAACTCAATCAACCAAATATTACACAGTTATTAAATTTTTAGAAAAAATTGAGTGACCTTTTTTTTATGGGAATTTTGTAAAAAATATTATACTAAGATTTATTTACAAAAATAAAATATATTTATTTTTATAATTTTTCAATACGCTATCATATAAAATCGTTATTTGGTAAAAGAGCAGTATTTATGACTATTTAATTTACATAATAATTAATTCAAACATAATTTAACCATAAAACCCAATTATAGAGTATATGGATCAATTATAGTTAACTTGAGTTTTTATAGTTTTACTCTCATGCTAATGCACTTGAAAAATTTCATTTTGAAAATCCTATACAGTATTTGTATATTTTATCAATAATTTTAATAAATAGCTATTTTTATAGGCACACGACACTTCTGTTCAATATGTTGATATAGGTACAAAAGAAATAACGCGAAATATGAAATATGAAGAGCTGTTTACACCAATTGCTGGGCCAGAAAATCCATTTAAAACACAACAACAAAAAGCAGCTAAAAATATGATGACTGGATTTGTTGAAAAAGCACATATAAGTGATTTTATGTTTGAAACACAGAGAAGAACATTTCATAGTTTTGGTGAACTAAAATTTTATTCAAATTTATAATTTAAAATTAATAAGTTATATTCTATTATTATATTTAGGATATGCTTTGGATCCTACTGTTGATTCAAATGAAATTATTGGTCGAAAACCAGAAAGAGATGATTTTAAGACTGTTTTTGAATCGTTGCCTAAAAGACAAGCTGATAAGAGAAAAAGACTTAAAAATGATAATCCAGAAGATATTGACGGGTATCTAGGACCATGGGGAACATTTATTGATGAGAAAAAAATAGCTAAACCTGAAGGGGTATGAATTTTTTTCAATTTTCAATTTAATAATATTAATTTTTAAGTATTAATTTTACAGGAAGATGCAGCTGCTATTGAAGAATTTTTAGCAAAGAAGCATAAGCGTGGTAAGAAAGTTGAAGATAAGAGTTTTAAGGAAAAATCTATTCTTCATAGTAAGTACTCTCTTTTTATATTATTATTTTATTTTTTATTTCTGTGGCTTGGTGCATAAGGGCATGTTTTCCTGGATTTTGATAGTTTAATTATAAGAATTATAAAAGCATTGGATAAATAGTCTCAATTTCATAAAAAAAATGTGATATTGGCCTTTTTTTTACCAAGCCAAAGATATTATATTAGATGTTATATATTATTTAATAAATTATTCTTATTAGTTTATTATTATTTATACTAGTTTTTCAGCTCATATATTAGAATACTTTATTTACAACTTCACTCGTAGAGTATCTTCATCTTTATCATTTATTTTTTGTATAGTTAAAGATCCTGTAGATTACCAGGGACGATCATTCTTACATATACCTCAAGATGTAGGAGTTAACCTTAAATCAAATATGCCACCTGATAGATGTTTTCTACCCAAAGCACATATTCATACATGGCAAGGTCATACTAAAGGAATATCAGCTATACGATGGTTTCCACGTTCAGCTCATCTTCTTATGTCATGTAGTATGGATTGTAAAGTTAAAGTAATACAAAACCCAAAAAAATTTAAATATTTTTTATTTATCAATAAATATATATACATATATTTTTAGTTATGGGATGTTTATAGAGATAGAAAGTGTATACGAACATATATTGGTCATACACAGGCAGTTAGAGATACATGTTTTAATAATAAAGGAACTAAATTTTTATCAGCAGGTATGACTTTCAATGTTTTTAATATAATTTTTGAACAACAGTTAAATTCTATATATTGCACTGTAATGATCTACATATCAAGCTACTTTTTTCTAAGTATATTACAAAATAAACTGTTTAGTGTAGCTTGTCATATTTGTGCTGTAGGACCTAACTTAAACTATCATATTTATATAAATGATATCAGATATATTAGTTTTAAATCTTTTTACTACTATGATTATAAGTTTTGAATCAGTAACTTTTAGTACTTCATTCATATTTTCATTTTACATTCACAAATTACTATTTTATAATGACTCTGTTAACTGTTTATAATAACTCTGTTCCTAACTAAACACCTACTTCTAAAAACTTATTTTAATTCTTATACTATTTTTATCAAGGTTTTTATGTATTTAAAATTCAATAATTTAAGTTCTTATAAGTGCAATATTTGTAAGATAAGTATTAAGATCTTTATTAAAAACATAGTTTATACAATTATTATTAAATAAATTTGATTAATAATTAGTTAAAAATTATTTAGTATTTTGGGCTTTAAATTTTAGCTGTGTTCTTATAAAATTTCAGTATCAAAAATACTGAATAATGCTTATCAGTTTTTGAATTGAGTTTATTTTGAACTGGCTATAAATAATAAGTTAGATTTTAATCTTCAATTTTCTTTATACTAACACTTATTTTATGGTTTTATTATAGCATATGATCGTTATGTTAAGTTATGGGACACAGAAACTGGAGACTGTATAAAAAGTTTCACTAACCATAAAGTTTTATATTGTGTAAAATTTAATCCTGATGAAGATAAACAACATTTGTTTGTTGCCGGAACTGCTGATAAAAAAATTGTTTGTGTAAGTAAAATAAAACAAATTAAAAATATGGACCATATTTTTGTGTATTTTATTTAACTGAATTTATAATTCTGTAGTGTATTGCTCAGACATTCATTAGTTTTGAAACATATTCATAGTCTCAGCACTGCTAAATAAATATAAATCAGCTAAGTAAAAAAGAGTTTTTCCACTTAAAAAAAGATACTGAATTTTATTAGGTTGCAATAGAACCTCAATTTTCTAGGATAATAATGGAGAAAGATTTGAGGGATTTGCGATTTGAGGACAGCTGATATGAGCTTAGATGATGTGGGAGATCATGTCAAGTGAAGTTTAGGATAAGGGTGGCCAACCCCAAGTAGTTGGGATTAAGGCGAGGAAGAAGACGAAGAATAATAGAGAAGGATAAATGCATAAATGTTTTATCCAATATGGACAAATGAAACTATAATTGATCTAACTTTTAATTTTATTTAATGAATAATATATCAATGGTTATAAAGCAAAATCAATTAAGCTACATTTTTCAAGGTTTTCAAAAGGCAAAAACGTTTCTTATATTGTTTTTATTTCTGAATGGTTATAATTTGTTTTTTTTTTTGCACATTTTGAAGTTTTTGACAAGAGTATTTTTTTTATTTAGATGTCATATTTATGGCTAAGTAATTTTCTTTGAGTTCAGATTATAATTGAAGTAATAAGAATACTTTTAATAAAATATATTTAAGTATTGACACATATGCCCCAATTTTTTGTCAATTTGTTGTTATGTCCTCTTTGCCTTTTTTTTTTCACAACCAGCATTATTAAGGCATTATAAGGGCTGCCTTGCTCAAGTAATTGCTGTAAGGCATTACTTCAGGGAGCCACACGCCGTCTATAATTCACACCACCACATCGTGAAACATCCCAAAATTAATCAAGAGCTGATTCAGTGTCCCCTTTGCCTTGTAACCATCAATATTATGTTCTCCCAATATTTTATACTAATGACGTTTATCCTCTGAAAATGTTGTTTAGACCTCAAATTTATAATTAACTGAACAAAAGTGTCATACTTATCTAAAATTAAAATTATAAATATCTTTATATAATAATCACTAAATAGATAGACTTTTTCCAACAGATAGATTCATACTAGATTAGTCGCTTAGTCTCTTTTGCCTTGTAACCATTAAATATGTATAAATATTAGGATAATTCTTAGCATTATTAGAATAATTTTTTTTTTTAAATCATTCTATGCATTCCTCAAGTTTTTCCATTAGATAAAAAATTAATTCATACAAAATTTGGCTGAAATTGAGTGACGTCTTACGATTTTCGTCACTTATCTTACAAACTATGCCATTTACAGAAAAAATTATAGATCTTAGTTTATATAACTAATTGTTTACCATAAAAAATATTAAAATTTAATTTTTATTATTTTTGTTGTCAGTTTTATTTATTTTACCAAACGTAGTTCAAATATTCAAGTATATGTACATTAGGGTGGTCCTTATTTTTCGACTTCATAAATTCAGAGTCATGGGCTCAAAATTTCGTTAGGTTCACTGAAAAAATGAAACTGGTAAAATCTGAGTACAATAAGTCAACCCCTTCACGTGCCTCAAAGGGGTTGAAGTTCTTCAAAAATGAGGTAGATTTTCTTTTTTTGAGTGTACGCTCTTTATTTTTGAAGTTTCTCCAAAAACACAAAGAACAATTTTTATAGAACTAAATGTGAACAAAAAATAAGGTAATATATTATTTTTTTGTACAATTAATATTTTTCGTAATAACAAGAAAAATCAGTTTCACCTATTTTTTTTAAAAAAATGACAGTTTTCAGTTATACTTTTCTAGTGTCTTAAATTTTAATTGTACAGAAGTAATATTAATTACCGTGATATCTTCTATAAAAAACGTTATTTGAGTTTTTTTTGAATTATGAATCCTTTCCAAATAAAAATTTAAAACAACTACGAAAACGTGTTTTTTTTTTTTTAATTTTTTTTGCATGTATGTTTTTTTGTTCATAAATTAAAAAATTTTCTTAGTTATATTAAATAAAAAAAAAAAAACAACAAACACAATAAAATAATAATTGTTTATCACAATAATAGTTTTTCCAATTTGAATATTTTTTATTCAAAATTTCTTGGCTACAACTGGGATACAGCTGGCGATATTGTTGAACCACCTAAAATAGTCCAAAGTAAAGGTTATAATACAAATATAGTAATTTAAAATTAAAAATTTTGCAGTATTATTATATAATTTCATACTTGTAATATAAATTGCTTTTGATTTTCATCCCTTGTAAATTTGTCATTGAATTCCGTCGTTTACTATTTTTATGGAGGATAATATTTCTTTGGCGTTATAGTATTCATTATTTATTTCCCTTGTGGTAGGATCTTCATATAAAAACTTGAATTTTAATATAAATCACTCGAATAATTTCCATGAATTGTTGCTGAGCAACGAAAAAAAGAAGATCTTTTTCTAGAAAATCTGATAAATCTTCATATTTTAAAATTAATTTTTTATTTGAATCTTCATTTTCTTCTGGCTCTTCATTCGTGCTCTGTTCATAACCTTTTAATATTTTTTTTGCCATTCGCTGCTTAGTATTAATGTCAAGTCGATCGTTAAATAAAGAAAACACAGCACACTTATCATTTAAATACCATAAATGGTTTATAAATTTTTTTATAGCTATGTTGTTTTGTAGTTGAATGTTATATTAAAATGTGGTTTTCAGCTGCGAACATTATAACAGCTCCTATAAATGATTTAATGTTATTAAAAAAGTTATTAAACTACAGTAATAATAAACGAGGAGAAGTAGCTATAAATAGATTTATCAGATTTTCTAGAAAAAGATCTTCTTTTTTTCGTTGCTCAGCAACAATTCATGGAAATTATTCGAGTGATTTATATTAAAATTCAAGTTTTTATATGAAGATCCTACCACAAGGGANAATAATGGTTCAGTGAACCTAACGAAATTTTGAGCCCATGACTCTGAATTTATGAAGTCGAAAAATAAGGACCACCCTAATGTACATATACTTGAATATTTGAACTACGTTTGGTAAAATAAATAAAACTGACAACAAAAATAATAAAAATTAAATTTTAATATTTTTTATGGTAAACAATTAGTTATATAAACTAAGATCTATAATTGTACTCAGATTTTACCAGTTTCATTTTTTCAGTGAACCTAACGAAATTTTGAGCCCATGACTCTGAATTTATTAAAAAAAAATTTTTCTTCTATAACTAAGGACCACCCTAATGTACATATATAATACTGGAAAGTATTATGTATTATATATATGAAAGTATAATGTATTATATATATATATATATATATATATATATGAAAGTATAGTGTTTGTTGGAACCTTATAACATTGCATGTTTATATAACAGTCCACAGATTATTTATATGTGCCTATATCTTATCACTTATAAATTATGTTTTAAATTATACACATTTTTATTAGTGGGATACAAGATCTGGAAATATTGTTCAAGAATATGAGAGACATTTAGGAGCTGTTAACAGTATTACTTTTGTTGATGAAAACAGACGATTTGTTACAACTTCTGATGACAAGAGTCTTCGTGTTTGGGAATGGTATTCTTAACTTTATAATATATATGTAGGGTGTTTTATTAAGAATAAAAAACTCATCAACTCGTAAAATTTTGATTTGTAGAGGAAAATATTGTTTTATTCAAAAAACTACTATAATGCATAGTTTTATCATTTTTGTTATCCAATCAATCGGATGCTTTTTAAATTATCAAAAGTTTTCTATTAAAAAAAAATCTATCATTAACTTGGTTTTTATAATTCTGGAAACAACAATATTCTGTTATTTTTATGGTATTTATCAAGAAAATTTTTCCATAGCGGTCGTTCAACAATGTATGATAATAAATATGCTTTTATTAGAAAAGTATGTCTATTAATAGACATGAATTATTAAAATAAGATTTTGGTATGATGAAAAATATTGAAAAGTACCTGTGACAATTGTTAACTACTGTATGCTAAACAGCTAATAATCAATAGAAAAATTGTCAAACATTGTTAACTAAAACAAGTAATTAGAAAAGTTCATTGGATAAAAAAAAATTATAAGATCAAAGTTTTTCTATTTTATCATTAAACAAATTTAGGGATTCCCATTAAATGAAATTAAAATTTGGGTACTTAACCTTGAAAGGAACTATATATTGTAGATTTTTTTGAATCAAACAAGATTTTTCTTAATGAAAATTAAAAATGTTCAATAGTTTAAAAAAAAATGAGTTTTATCCTTTATGAATTACTGTGTATATAAATAATACCATTGCCTATAAAAATGTTGGAATCCTATAAATTTTATATGTTTGTATTAGGGATATACCAGTTGATATGAAATATATTGCTGATCCTACTATGCATTCTATGCCTAGCGTAACACTTGCTCCTAACAAAAAATGGTTGGCTTGTCAGAGTATGGATAACAAAGTTGTTATATTCTCAGCAATGAATCGTTTTAAAGTGAATAGAAAAAAAAGTTTTTCTGGTCACATGGTTGCAGGTTATGCTTGTTCATTAGATTTCTCACCTGATATGAGGTATGCATTATAGCTTCAATTTTTTCAATCTTTTTTTTCATAATAATTATTATTTTTAGTTACTTAATTTCGGGGGATGCTGATGGTAAAGTATTTATATGGGATTGGAAAACAAGTAAATTATACACAAAATGGAAAGCCCATGATAATGTTTGTATAGCAACTTTATGGCATCCACATGAACCTAGTAAAGTTGCAACAGCTGGATGGGATGGCATGATCAAATATTGGGATTAATTTTTTTTTTTCTATGTAAGATCTATAAAAATTATTTTTTTTATTGACTATTGACTATGTATAATAATTATGTATATTTATTAACTAAAAAAATATATGTATATTTCATGTATGGTAATTAAATGTTTAATTAATGTTTAGATTTTAAACATTTATTATAAGTTTTTAAACTAAAAAATATAATTGGTTTTTATTTTGTAAAAATTAGTATTTTTTTTAATATTGTTTAACTTTTGTAGCAATTAAAAGTTGCTTTGTACATTGTCGTTATTTAAACAAATATTTATTTTTAAAAAATTAGATAACATGATGGATATAAAAATGAATGAACAAAATGTGTTGATATAATTTCTTAATTAAAAGAAAGTTAAAAAATTTAATTTTTAATGTAAAAATTGCTATTTTGAACTCCCTATGAGTGTCTTACTCAATAAGTCAATGTCTTATTGACTTTCCAAAAAAATTTCTCATAGTAGGTGTATATCTAAAGGGTTCTTTAAATATCAATTGTATATTATATCCTCTTAAAACAATAAGAATAAAGAAATACATCAAATTTAAAATAATGTAAATCTTGATTTTATTTTATGTAAATGTCATAAAGTAAAAATTCAGGAGCGTGCTGACTAGGTCTGCTAGGTTTGAAAACGGCGCCATTTTGATGGTAATATCTGTCTGTACATCCCCCAAATATATCTGTGGCAGATATGGACATATAGATATTTAAGTGATATATAAAATAATTCGATGATTGTACCACAGAACAACAGTTGTTCTGTGTCTGTATATCATAATTTTTATTGATAACATATCACACTTCATTTTATCAATTTACTATTGTTGTTCTTGTTAAATGTTAGCACTAAACACAGACTATATGAAAATAGTCGTATAGTAGTTTGTGATATTAGCTTATTGGTTAATTTGAGATTTTGTTTTCTAATAATACTGAGTGAATGAAAAGAAAATATATATTTATATTTTATTTGAGACAGTTAATTTTATTTCAAGTAGATAATAGAAATCATTTTACATTATGAGTTATTCTCCACCGAGCCAGAACAATGTCTCTAAGCCAGATTGGTTGAATAGAATTGAAAATATGAAAGTAAATCGTCAAGACATGAACAAACTTATCATGAACTATTTAGTATCCGGTTTGTATAATAAATTATTCTATTTATAATCAATATTTATAACTATTTATTAATTTTACTCAAATAATATATAAAACAATTTATTTTTAATTAATGATTTGTTCCATATATTGTTTTTAGCACAATAATTGTGTTCACATTATTTTGTTGATGTTATTTAGAAGGGTTTAAAGAAGCTGCAGAAAAATTTGAACAAGAGGCTGGAATTAGTTCTCCACTGAAATTAAATACCTTAGGAAACCGAATTAAGGTCATTGAAGCTGTACAGTCAGGAAAAATGCAAGAAGCAATAACACTCATTAATCAATTATATCCAGGACTTCTTGATGACGATCGTGATTTATATTTTCATTTACAGGTACTTAAAATACTAATAAGTTACTTAAACAGATCATTCTTCAGAAGTTCACTATAAATTTATTTAAATAAACTACTGGTGTATTGATACCATTTTAAATAAAAACTCTTAAATTGTACTTTTAGTCCTAAATAAAACTATAGAACCCATATATATTTAGTCTTTTCATCCACAGATAATAACTTAGTATATATTATAATACTGAAAAATAATACTTGACCTAAGCCTGTAGCCAAAATTGGCTGTTTCTATGATTTAAAAATAAAATTTTTTTAAACTTTTATAGTACTTTATGTTATTGATTTTACAAATTTTACTTGAATATTAAAATTAAAATGACAAAATCTATATAAATTAATATATTTTAAGAGTTATCAATTTATAACTGTTTTTTTTTATATTAATAGTTCTAAAATAAATTTGATGTAAAAATAATTCTATTTATTTTTCTCATAGCAACTTCATCTAATTGAATTGATAAAAGAAGGTAATATAGAAGAAGCATTAGTATTTGCTCAAGCTAAGCTTTCAGAAGTGGGAGAGGGAAATCCTACCATTTTAACTGAGCTAGAGAGAACATTAGCTCTTTTGGCTTTTGAAGAACCTCACAAAAGTCCGTTTGCTGATCTTCTTCAAACTTCACACAGACAAAAAGTAACTTAATTAATTGATATAAAATTTATATTTTATAATAATTTAATTGTGATTTGTTACAACACTATATGGATAATACACTAATTATTTAGTATCATTTATAAATATATTCATTAAATTCAGTCTTCATGTATCTAATGTGACACGGCCACCAAGGTTGATTACCAATCTTTAAAAGTATGTTGGAAATTATGTGAAAAAAATAAGTATATTATGAGAAAAAATTCTTTAAACCAAGGCTATATAGAGATTAACTTTACACTGGGAAACTGTACACTTATATTTCACATGTCGATACATTTTTATTTAGTTTGATGATATAGTGTGGGCTGAGGTAAATACGGTACTATGTCACATGTATAAATTTTATACAGTTATTCGTCATTTTAGTAAAACAAATCCAAACTGTTAATAAAAACAACCAGTGCTACCTCGTATTCTAATATTTATTCTAGTTAACATATAATTTTGCATAAAATACAAGTATTTTATAATGTTTCAGCTAATAGTTTAATAAATAAATATTTTTTTAATATTTACCAACGAGTACATGATAAATTTATATGAAAAAAAGATATTTTTGAATAAAATGTGTTGAAACTAGTTTTATTTTTTTAAATATTATAAGTAAACTTATTTCTATGAGTATGTACGTTTTAAATATATTATCTATTGAAATGTCATGTTTTTAAGTTTTACTTCAAACTGTACTATTGGTAACTCGACTGCTTGTGTTTTGTGAATGCACTTGCTCACTGTAAGGTTAAATGTATACTAATAATAATGGACTCTGTAATTCATTATTGTCAACTTAATAGTATTAATAATGAACTGAGAATTAAATAATATTCCCAGTTCACTGGAATATTATTTTATTTTTAAGTTTTGATGCTTAGAAATATAGATTAAATATGCATTTAGTATATATTATAAATGATTAAGATACCAACTTTCAAGCTATTTACAAAAAAATCTTTATCATATCATTTATCCAAAAATATATTTATTATTTTGGGGGAGAGGGGTATTAATTAAATCATTTATTGAAAAAAAGTCCCAACTTTTTAGAACAAAGAAAACATTTTTCAAGATAGTTATTATTTATTTACTTTTAAATAATAATTTTCCCTATTTTATTACTATTAAATGATTTAATTTAATTTATAAAATATAAAATTTGAATAATAGCTATGCTCTAGTAATCATTTAACAGTGAATAAATTGGGCTCCTGTTCAAATAAAAAAATTTATTTTTAACGTTTATTGATATCTTTCAATATCCAATACTTAATAAATGTTATATTATTAAAGGTATCCAGTGAGCTGAATTCAGCTATTTTGAGATTTCATAACCAGCCTACTATTACACCAAAGCTTTACAATTTGATGAAATTGATTATGTGGGCTCAAGATGAACTTGATAGAAAAAAAGTTAAATTTCCTCATATGACAGATTTTGGATCTGCTACTTTAGAACCACCAAAATGACGCTTTTCAAATAAATATGGCAATGTCTATTGTAACTCAAGTTGGCTGTTTGACCATAAAGATTAAGTATATCTTTTTCCATGCATTTTTTCAATATTAAAAAATGTACATTATAACAAATATGTGGATAAAATTTTTTTGGTTGCATTAAAATAAATTATTTCACAACTTTTGTTTGCAAAAAGAAAAATGATATATATAGAATGTGTGCTTAATTAAATCTAATTTTTTGTAATATATTTTTTTTTTTTTTAGTATAAATTGTTTAACCTGTTTATTTTTTCCTTTTATATTGCATAATAACAAACATATTGTATATTAATATGAATATACTATTTAATTAATGAACTCTTACTTTACTACTAACATTTAATAAAAAGAAGTAATTGGCTGTCAGCCGGTAACATCACAAATCAATATCTAGCCGATACTACTGTGACACTTTTACATAATATTCAGTGTTGGGAAAGTTCCTTTTTAAATGGAACTCATTCCGTTCCCCGTTCATTTTCTAAAATAAGAACTCGTTCCACTCTTCATTCCTTTTATGTATCAAGTTATTTAAAAAATTGTGACAATGAGATCATGATAAAGGTCATCAATGATTTTCATCAGCAGTCGAATACAAAACAAATTTGTAGTATTCCTTATCTAAAAGTATTCGAAAATTATATTTATAAGCAGGTAGTAAATGCTAACGACTTGTGTCAACGCGACCAATGTCTATTGTCTACATATAAGTTAGAAATAATAAATCAGAAAACCCAAAACCTTTAACATATATTAGTTAACAAGAAACGACGATAATATTCGGTGCATTATTTAATATATGTACACATATATTAAATATTTACTGTATACCTACATGTGATAATAACTCTATTTATAGTCAATTGATTCATTTAAACAGCCTACGATCTCGGCTGGGTATATAGGGGACTTCCATTGTCAAAAGTCAACTAAAAATACCATAATATTTTAATGTCTAGATACGAAGAAAACTACACTAAAACATGTTTATAAAAATTTTTAGGAACTGTAATTTCCGTTCACGTTCCTTAAAAAATGGAATTTGTTCATTTTCCTCGTTCCTTTATTTTAAAAGGAAGCAGTTCCTAGCATCGTTCCTTCAAAAAGAACTCGTTCCAGGAATCCGTTCCTNGATCCTAACATCGTTCCTTAAAAAAAAACTGGTTCCAGGAATCCGTTCTTTTTGGAACCAGTTCCTTCTCAACACTGATAATATTATAACTGAATAACCCAGTGTGACCGTCCAAAAAAAGCTTAGTTAACAAATCTTACTTTATTAAAATTTTTCAGTTTCATTTTTATATTGCTATAACTTTTTAAATGATTAGATCTTAAAAAAAATATATTTTTGTAATATTGTCAAGGTTTACCTTTTTTTTTTTAATTTTTTAGGAAATCCAATTATAATCCTTTGCACTGGCTGTGAACATAGAATTTGTGACTATATTACAGAAAAAATTTATTTTTTCAAAACTATTTTAATTTATGTTTATTTAATGGTCATACAAGAGTGACAGTATATGCATTTGCCTTCAAAAATTAAGTTTAGCTAATTAAAGGCAAAAAAAAATGTTAAGTGCTGTCCCTGTTTTTACTATATCACTTAAAAGTTTTTTTTACTAATTTTTAGTGAATTTCTGAAGGTGAAAATATTTTTCGTCTAAATCTTTTGATTATTGATAAAAAATAGATCATTAAATATTCTTGAATAAGTTAACTCATAAGGATGAGGATGACTTTTTCATATGGGTGCAATATTTTTGTAAACGTCAAAATCTATTTCCCAATTTTGACATTAAGATCTTTTCCTTTTTTTTCAGTAGATAACAATAGTTTATTGAGTTATTTGGCTGAATCTATGAACCTTATTGTAAGAAAAATAAAAACGGTTCAACATCTTGTCAATGATAAATATTATAGGAAAATTAAATAACCACCTAGTTCTAAAATCTATTAATTATCCCCTAACTACAGAATATTAGTGAAATGTTTTTTATAGTGCTTGGATTTACTTAATCTCCAATGAAAAAACTTTGTAGATCAGATTTTTTATCTTTTATAATTTAAAAAAATATATTTATTCATAAATATTGATTTTTATACAACAATAATTAATGTAATTTTTCAGTCTATGTAGTTGAACAAATTAAACATTCCATTCAAACAAAATGAAAAGAAGGTTGTAAGACAATTTTTATACTTTAATAACCAGTCTTTGGTTTTCAGCAATCCATTTTTTATAATTTGATGGTTTTTATCTATCAATGATCTATATTTCCGAACATACATAAAATACATATACTTAATATGTATTAAATATATATAATAAAGGATGAACAAAGTAGCCCACCAATAACTAAACAATGTTTTCTATGTATTATACACACTATCGTGTTATCACGCGTTGTCATTATACAATGTGGATAACATTGTTATTAAAATATATGATTGCACGAAGAGTAAAAGTGGCATCATAACACATTACTAAAATTCAAATATATTTATTTGAAATTATATTTTAATGGTTTTAAAAATTTTACAATTCGTTAACGTTTTTTGTAAATTCAATTTTCAGTAAAATTACTTCAATAAAAAAAAAAATCAATAAGTAATATTAAGTAGTGTATTAAAGTAGCCAAATTCATTGAAAATGTCTAAAAGATCATCAACTGAATTTGAAGAATCTATGAAAGGTATAAACATTTTAGATTTGAATGACCTTTTTGTTAAATTTATTACATATATTATATTGAAAAAGTTAAATATGTTTAAAAACTTGTTGTAATTATTTAATATTTACTTTTATTTTTACTGATAACACCTTTTTGAGTAATAAAAAAAAATTTGGTAGTTGAACAAAATTTAAGTAACATTAAAAACCTTAAATTTTAATTTAAGGATACAACTTTTATCATTATTTTCTAGTTTATTAGTTTTAAGATCACGCTTGCAATTTTTCAAACTTCAAACTCATTACATTACTTTAAAGTAAATTTAATGACATATTTTTTTAAATACAATTTTTAGAAATATAAATTATTTTTAATAATAATTAAAAAGAAGACTTTGAAGAAAAACGTTTATTTTTTTTAAACTTGTTTATAAGTTAGTTAAAGTTTTGTTCATTTTTAGAACATATTTAATTAGTTTATTTTTACTTGTTTTTTTAATATCATTAATTAATTTTTTTAGAACTACAATTATTTTATTTATATACTGTTGCTGTTGTATCAAAGTTTCATTTATATTTTATTAAATAGATTTTTAATTGTACTACTAAGAAATAATATTTCAAGAACAAAGAAAAATTAAAATAAACTTAATGAATTAAGTTTTGTTATACTGACACAAAATTCTTCCAAATTTCCTTCAATATCATTATTATTATTTTAAATATCTAAAATTTTATGTAGATAGTTTAAAATTTCAAAAATTGATTTACTTTTGTATTTATTTATGTGCCAATTTTTAATTTGTAGACTTAGATAAATTATTGATTACCCTGAAGAATTTTAATTAGTATAACGTAATAAATATGATGGAGGTATCTTATATGTCCAGAATTTCCACCAATGGCCAAATATATATGTACTATGATAATTAGTAATAATTTTACAAATCCTGATTTTTAGAGTCAAACCAAAATTTCAATTTTTCTTAATCAAACTCAAAACAAACATCAATTTTAATTATTTCTTTTAAATTTTAAGTTTGGAAATCACTAGTAATAAATGAACTATTTTCTTACATAATACTATAAAAGTAATGTCACATTTTATTATTTTTACTGATAATTGAAGAACAAATTGTTTATGATGATAAATAAACTAACCAGTAGTTTTCAAAATTACCATTAAATAATTAACTAAAATTACATTTTTTTTTGATAATTAAATTACTTGCAAGTAGTATTGTTACAGTAACTGCAGATTATTTTAAAACTGAATACAATTAGGTAGTAAAGTTAATTATACAGTATAGCAATTAAATTATATAATTTATAATTGTATTGTTTTTAATATTGAATAATTTGTTTAAAAGACCCTTCACTTTAAATAAATTAAAGTTTATTTTCCTATTTTTTAATGATTTATTACTTTGTGTACTGTACTAAGTCAAAATATTAATTATAATTATAGGATTTTATGTAATTTTTGATCAACATTAACTTCATGCAAATTTTTTAATATTTATATTAGAAATGTGTACTTTATTTAATATTAGTTTAATTATATTCTAATTAATAATTCTTTTATTTGAGATATTTATTTTTTAAATGCAGATGATATATCAAAAGAAAAGTTACAAGACAAGAAACAAAAATTAACTTTTGGTATGAAAAAATCAATACCTACAAAAACTGGTATTAAAATTAAGCTCAACACTCCATCAAGTGTAATTTTTAATTGTTAAATATAATAATTTATTCTGAAATTAATTTTATTTTAATCTAAATTATTAGAAAGAACCCCCATTATTACCAAAACCAGCTTCAAAATCAGTTGCTGCAGTCTTTGGTGATGTTAGTGATGAAGAACCTGAAGAAATGCCTAGAGAAGCTAGAATGCGAATGAGAAATATTGGTAGAGATACACCAACATCAGCAGGACCCAATTCTTTTGGTAAAACTAAGCATGGTTTCTGTAATACTGGAAAACTATTAGAAAAAACTCTGAAAGAAGCTACAAAAGCATTAGTTGATGATAACAAATAAGTTTAATTAAAATACTTAACAATAACGACTTGTGAATATTGTTTCTGTACTTTACAATTATAATTTTTAAAATTAAGTTTTGATGTATGACCATGACTATGTACTTTAAATTACAAACCTATTTAATATTTCATTAGTAACAATACTATTAATGTCCTTATTTTTATAATTACACATAGTTATTAACAGGATGTAAATTTCCTGATTTTTATTAAAACACTTTTTCCAGAATGTTTGAGATAAATCAACAGTTACGAGTTGTAGTTTTACATTTCAGCTGTTTTTCATGTCTTCTCATTTTTTATAATTGTTATTAGATTAAAGCAATGAATAATGTAATAGATATTTAAAACATACATTTTTTGGTAAATATTATTTGATTTGTATGGTATAGGGATCATTTAATTATTCCTTAATTTGTAGTTTATAAATCAAAAAAATCATTAAGGTGCTAAAAAAATGACAATTTTGGCTAAAGCCTTCTTGAGGAATAAAAATCCCTCATACGGTTAAAATATAACCAAAATAATATATATTAATAATTGTGTATTGGTTAATCGATTTAATTGAAATATCAGGGAATTAAACACATACTTAAAATATAAATAGTTCAACTCGTCAATGAACTCTGTGATAGCATTTATCAGTGCTATTCTATTAATTATGACACTAATGCTATGCTATGCTTTATAAGGAATGAAGTATAAAAAATATATATCGAGCAGAATAATATTTATTCTCACATATTTTATAAAAACAATATATGTTATTTCCCTCAATTAATGAAGGTATCAAGGTTTTCTTTGTGGTTGACCTCCTTGGCGATTGTTATCCTATAAAATGAATCAATACAAATGCAAGTATATTTTAATTAATTTTGTCGCAAAAATACACATAATAAAATCAGGTTTTAGCTATAATTGAATTTTTATAAAACATATAAGATTTAAACACTCAGTTATTGATACATCAAGGTTCAAATAAACTCAATGAATCAAAATAGCATATATTAAAATGTTGGTAAATATGTTAAAATTTATTTAATAGATTAGTGTTTGTGGTTTATAGGAAACAACAGGATATAATGAATATTTTTGATAATAACTAAAACAAACATCCTGAATAGTTTATGACACAGTGTGGAGAAACTGAGTTATCCCCATACTACAAAAATTGAACATAGATGAAAACCTACTGAAATACATGAAACTACCTAAACCTTTAAAATATATTATCTTTGCTGTCAAACTTCTGAATTCTTTCTCCAACAAACTCTTAATACTAACAAACTGGTCAAAAAATACTGGATTTATCTTTACTCCCCGCAAGACGCAATGCATTATTTTTAACAAGAATAAAAAAAAGACATTCAACCCACATTTAAGTTTAAAGTTCTCTACTAATCTTGATTAATGAAATCTATATACTTGGACTAATTTTTTGCCATAAAATGTTATGGAAACTACATGTACAAAACTAGTCAGAATGTTCAACAAGAATGAAAATTATTAAAATATTATGTAACAACTTATGGGGAACCCAAACACAAATGACCTACTCACTATCTATAAGTCGTTAATTTTACCCAAATTTACTATGGCACTATTGCGTACAACTTTGCAAAGAAAAATTTACTTAATACACTGGATCCCATACACTACCGTAGAATTAGACTGGAAACAAGTGCTTTTAGAACCAACTCAACTATCAGTGTATTTTGTAATGCAGAAGACAGAAAGACACATAAGAATATGCTACTAAAGTTAAATAACTTTCAGAACACATAACCAAAAATCTTTTTCACAATACACTCTCATCTAATAATAGTCCAAACCTAAATACTATTTATGTAAACTTCATTAAATAAAGTGAAAAATAGAATACTCCACAAAAACACTTAGTAGAACATTATCCAATATTCCCCATTGGCTTTGGTTACCAATAATAAATATCCAACTCACAGAATACTATAGATTCGCCCATCCAAAACAAATGATTCTGGACCAATTTAACAAAGTCATATCCCCATATAAAAAAAACTTCAAAATTAATATACTTACACCACGAGGGAAGTTACGACTTGGTGGTGTTCGGATGCGACGATCAGTTTTAGATCTATTTCTTACAACCTTAGAATGGATAGCACAAGAGACACAGTAGTGTAATTTTGCATACAGTTTAGGTAATTGGTAAGCTGAAAAATTATAAAAAATTTATTACTAACAATAACATAACAAAAAAAACTGAAATAATAAATTTTTCTGAAAACAATCATTTTATTAGTTTTGAATAAATATTATTTTATTAGATTATTTATAGAGATATTTAACTAAGAAGAAACATTTTACCATTGCTATTAATGGAAAATATTTCAGAAAGTTGCTTTTCCTGTAAAATTTCTAAAAATGGACATACAAAGTTTTAACACGGACAGTTCAATCAAATGTAGATTTTTTAAAAACAATAATGTTGCTTTAAAAAGATATATATATATTACTACCATTGATAGAAGACTAACCCCTACAACTGGGTATAAAATATTTATTTTATAATATGTTTGTTTGTCAAATTAAAAATATATTGTTGATTAATAGATTTAATAGAATTGGAATAGTCTTATTTTGAAATAATACTTGTGGTTGATATTATAGATGTATATACACATTTTAGCCAAATATTAAAATCTACAAGTAATTTATTTCTATTTAAATTAAAAAATAAAATTTCATGTTAGTTTAAACTTAAAAAAAAAATACTACAACACCTGAAAAATTTCATTATTAATGGTCATACCAAGTGACCTCAAAAATATTAATATTAAATAAGATACACATTATAAATTTAAAAATATTATTTTTTGATACTTGCTGATAATTAATACCTTACTTAATACTTAACTAGTAATATGTAATAATACATAATACTCACAAGAATATACGCTAGCATCAGTTATATCACGTACAGCAGCGGCTTCAACAATATTACGTATTACAAACTTCTTGATTGCTTTATCTTTTGGTACACAACGAGCACAATTAGTACAACGTACAGGCTTTACATGTCCACGTCCATGTTTTGATCTTCCTCCATTACGGCGTTTACGAGTCTAGAATGAACAAAAGTGATATAAAAATTACTTGCAGTGGGAAACAAAGTCTAATAAAAAAAAAAACTATATAATTAATTATATTACACAACTTCAAGCTTGACTCTATCATAAACCGTAAAGCAATAATAATTTAGAAAAATAAGGGTTGGTTAATTAAATGTCAAAATCGCATAGTTTAAACTTTATTATCATTTAGACTATCCTAATCCATAGACATCTTAAAATACATAATAAAAGTTATTAATTGAAGTAAAATCTAGATGAATCGTATGTATATCTCAAGTTTATACAAACACATGGAATATTCTACATCGATTTGAAAAAAATTAAAACTTTGAAGATATTCTTACTGGGATATTTTAATAAATCAATGAAAAATCAAACACTTATTATGATAAAAAATAACTTACCATTTTAATCCGTGACGATTTAAAACAAAAAATGCCAAAGAAATAGAAACGTAACTCTTTAACAAAAAGTTAACTCAATAGGTGAATTTGGAATGGAAGACATAACCTAACATTATATCTAATAGCCATAAACATAAAAATTATCTTATATTGTAACCACCAATTGGTAAAAGTGTATATTTCATGGAAGAATAAGAACATATTAAATTAAACTTAATATATACAATTTGAATTATTTGAAATATGTCTATCTTACAAGTCTAAAAACACCTTAAAAATTAAAATTATAATATAAGTTGTATGTTTTAATTATTTATGCAACTTTTTTAATTTAGAGTTTTTGATTATATTATAATAGTATAAAATGCTACTAGATAGAGCTAAAAATGTATATAATATTAATTTAACAAACATGTTATCTTATTACGTTATCATTAAAATTAGAGATTATTTTCCAAATTCTTAACCTCAACTTTGAAAAATTGTATTTTACTTAATTATTTATTTATTTATAAGAGCCAATTATTATTAGTTTAAATCTAAAGTTTGGATGTTAGAGTTTTGAAATAGTCTCTATTATGGAAACAGTTGTTGAGTCCATTCCTCAATTGATCAAAGATATAGAAGAATTGGAGAAATTAAAAGCTCAAAAAGAAATAGAGAGAACAGACTTAGAAACGCAAAACAAAAAACTTCAGTACAGATTAAAATTTTTAAAAGAAGCAAGTGTCAAATGCATTAATATTATAATTTTTAACTATGGGCGTATCTTAAAAATTTGTCTGTGGGGACATAGTCACTTACCCTGTTAATCATTTTGAATAATAAATGTTATAGGAATCTTCTTTACCACATTACTTTATCTTCCTCTTTTTACTGGAAAATTCGTTGAATTTGTGCATATTACTAATCTTTCTACAAAAGCTGTAGATTCCACAGCCCCATTCAAACTGCTAATTTTTTTAAACCTTCAATGTACACTTAGTGAATTGAAGGGTATTTTATAATAATTTTTTTATGGCTTTTTGAGTTAAATATTTTTTATTTTTAAATTAATAATATTTCTAATAAAGTTTTAATTTTAAACAATATTAGCCATAAGTGATCAAGTTTTATTATATAATAAAAAGAAGTTCAAAAATATAAGTGAAGCTTATTTTTTTTTATAAAATAGTGTAGTAACCATTTAAAATTTGTTAAAACTTATTTATATATTATATGTACATGTTTGACAATATATTCAATATAATTATTTACTAATCTAGAGTACAACAAAGTACATTGTAGGGTTTGAAAAACTTATTTATTGGATAAAATGTTTATCATGATAATAATTTCCGTTAAAGAAATTATGTCTGTACAATTGTATGTTTAAGAACTTAACTGAATAAAAAAAAAAAAGAACTTATAAATTACAATATAACTGTATTTTTTAAATAAAATAATATTATATTTAGGCCGTATCTGAAGAATTAAAAATATCCACCCAAGATGATAATGATTCTTTGGTTAACTTGCATTCTATATTAGTTAGTTTATTTTCAAAAGCTATTCAAACTGCTTACCCAACTATAGGTGAAGAAATTCAAACTACAATATCAACTGGTAGCAAATTTGCTGATTATCAGTGTAATGCATCAATGCAAATTTGTAAACTTTTAAAATCTAAAGGTAATATTTTGTTTAAATGAGTGCTTTTTTGAAAGAGACAATTTTTTAACATTTTATTTTGATACTATAACATAAATGAAATTTTAACTTTTTATTTGAGGGTTGGTTGTTAATTGAAAAATATCTAAGGTATTTAATTAACTTTTTTTTTTTATCTAAAACATTTAGATTGTTTTAATTTTATTATTCAGGAGAAAATGTGTCACCAAATACAGTTGCCAAAAAAATAGTTGAATGTTTAGAACCATGTGATGTTGTTGAAAAAGTTGAAGTTTCTGGACCTGGGTTTATAAATATTTGGTTAAACCATGATAAGTTAAGAAAAATATTGCAATTTGTTTTAACAAATGGGTTGAAACCTAAATCTCCTATTAAAAAACAAAGAATAATAGTAGATTTTTCTTCTCCTAATGTTGCAAAAGAAATGCATGTTGGTCATCTGAGGTTAGTTTAATATTAATTTAATTATTATATGCTTTAATAGTTATTATAAGATGTGTTATCGATCACTTAAGAAACTTGGAAGTTGGGTATTAGGTAGATTAGTAAGATAACTCTTACCTAAATAACAAGGGAAAAACTAGATTTGATCTCCAATCTGCTGGTAAATTTCCATATGTATTAAATATTATATAAAAATAATGGTGAATATTATAAAATTTGGTTTGTGTCATTTAATTTTGTTTTATTTCATAATAATTTAATTGTTATTTTAAAAATATATAATTTTTTTTCAAATTACAAAATTTAAATTTACAATGTGATTTTTACAGTTATTTTTTAACATAATATGAGTTATATTTATAATTTAATTTACTCAAAATAATATTTTATTTAAAAAAATATACAATAATATACCATAATTAGAAATAATTTTTTTTAACAAATCTTTTTTTTTTTTTTTTGAAATTTTATTTTTTATTAGAGTGATATGATATTAACTAAAGATCTTTTAATATTTCAAATAAATAAAATGCACTATATCCAATTTATTTAGGGATCCTTTGAAATTTTCAGATATTTATAATTAATTAACTTACTTAAAAATGAATGAATTTGTATTTTAATAATTGTTCTCTTTTTTTCAATATATTTATATAGTTTCTATAATGATTACTTACTAACATATCATGTTTTCTATTAATGTATGTATATTAAATAAATAAATATTACTTCTTTCTAATTTACTTTGTTTTATTTTAATTTTTAAATATCTGTAAATTATTTGATTAATAGAAAGATTCTTGACATATTAAAACATATTGTTATAATATTTCATGAATTAGTTGATTGAATAAATGTTCTAGGTCTACAATTATCGGAGACAGTATATGTCGATTATTTGAATTTTTTGGACATAATGTGTTACGGTTAAATCATATTGGTGACTGGGGAACACAGTTTGGCATGTTGATTACAAGACTTCAAGATAAGTTTCCTAATTATTTAACAGTGTCTCCTCCAATTCATGATTTACAACAATTTTATAAAGAGTCAAAGGTACTCTTTGATAGTGACCCAGATTTTAAAAAACGTGCTTATGAATGTGTAGTGAAATTACAAAGTATGTCTCCAGATCATGTAAAAGCATGGCAATTGATTTGTGATGTATCAAGAAAAGGTATGATTTTTTTTATAGAAGTTTTATAACTTTATTTATAAATACATATCTTATTTTTTAATAGAGTTTGAAAAAATTTATGAAAGATTAAATATTTCATTAATTGAAAGAGGAGAATCTTTTTATCAATCTCGAATGGAAAATTTAGTGAAAGAACTTACTCTTAAAGGTAATAATAATGAATTAAATTATTGAATTAAATATAATAATTATTATTTAATATTTGAGTATATTATTTTATGTATTAATTTATTTAGGCTTACTTCAGGAAGATGAAGGGCGTAAAATTATGTGGGGATCTGGAACTTCTATTCCATTAACTGTTGTGAAATCTGATGGTGGGTTCACCTATGATACGTCAGATTTAGCTGCTCTTAAACAGAGGATTGAAGAAGAAAAAGCAGATCGAATTATTTATATAACTGATTCTGGTCAAGTAAGTTATATGAGATAGCAAAACATTTAAGTTTTACTACAAAAATAAATTTTGTAGAGTACTCATTTTGAAACCTTAAAAAATTGTGCAACACATATTGGTATTCTTAATCCAAATAAAGTTCGTATGGACTTTGTAGGCTTTGGTGTTGTATTAGGCGAAGATAAAAAAAAATTTAAAACCCGATCTGGAGAAACTGTTCGTCTAGTTGGACTGTTGGATGAAGGTATTTTGTTTTATTTTTAATTATAATTAACTTTTTATTTATTAACTATTGTAATAGGTATTAAAAGAGCTAGAGATAAATTAATTGAAAAAGAAAGGGATAAAGTTTTAACTCCTGAGGAAATGCAAATGGCTGAAAGAGCTGTGGCGTATGGTTGCATTAAATATGCTGATTTATGTCACAACAGAAACCATGAATATGTATTTTCATTTGATAAAATGCTGGATGACAAAGGAAATACAGCTGTTTACTTATTATATGCCCTTACAAGAATTAGATCAATAATTAATAATTTAGGTGATAACTGTAAAAATGAAAATGAGCCAATTTCACTAGAACATGAGAAAGAGTGGAAATTAGCCAAGGTTGATATTTTATTATCATGCAATATTTATATTTATTAAAATTTGATTTATTAACTAATGAAAACATTTTTAGACATTATTGCGTTTCCCAGAAGTATTAACAAAAATTACTGATGATTTATGTTTACATCATCTATGTGAATATCTTTATGAGGTTGCTACTACATTCTCTGAGTTTTATGATAAATGCTATTGTATTGAAAAAAATACAAAAACTGGTTAGTTGTTAATACATTTTATTAAATTTACTTTATAAATCCAAAAATCTTCAGGTAATATAAAAAAAAACTATTAAATTGGTTTTGTAATTTATATTTTACAACCCATTTTTAAGTTTTATTTCTAAACTTTTTGAAAAATATATTTAAAGGATATTCGAGAAAGAAAAAAATTGTTTTTACAGTTTAAGAAAGTTTTTATTTCAAAATACTAAAAAAATTTATTAATAAAATAATTTTAAGGTTTTGGAGATTTTGATTTGAAGTTTAAAAAGTTAAAATTCGTTTTTTGGTTTTGATCATTTTTTTCAATTTAAAATCATTACAAAAAAAAAAAAAATACTTTTCTGGTTATTTTTATAAAAATATACAGTGTTTTACAAAGTTTGGACAAATCTAATAATTTTTGATCCAGCTAATATCTTTTAGTTTTACTGCAAAGTTGAGAAGGTGTTAATTTTATCATGATGTGTTTTTTTTATGTCTGTCACTACTTTTTCTCTGGTTTTCTTAGACCGATTTATTTTTTAATGATATATCAATAGATTGTATCTAATTGAAGACATTACCCTCAAAAATTGAAAAAAATTGCTACATTCTCCACAAATTGAAAAATCCAAAAAATTTATGTTTTTTTTTAAATTGGTAAATTTTTATGTTTAAAACTGTTTTTACTTAAAACTATGATAACCTTTAGCTTTGATGTAAAGTTAAGAAGGTATTTGTTTTGTGATAATGTGGGTTTTTTTGTATATGAAAATTTTAATCTCTCATTGGACTGATTTTGTATAAATATTCTTCCACAATATTCTGTGTAAGAAAAGGACTCTAAAAATTGGCTATGTTGTAATTTCATAAAAATTATTTAAAAAAATGTCTCATTATAGATAAATAATGATCATTGGGCTGATTATTATTTTAATTAAGGCTATAAAAATAAATAGACAAATAATAAAAACTATGCTTTAAACATTGTCCAAAATTTGAAAAATTGCTTTAAAAAAGAGTAACATAAAATATTTGCTGGATTAAATGTTATTTGATTTGTTAAAACATTGTGATCCACTTTGTATATGTATATGATTAGACAAATTAAAATTAAAAGCAATGCTCATATTAACATTGAAATAAAATACAATTTACACAATCATGTAAATATAATTTGTAAAGTTTTGGTTAATGTATCATATTATTCATCAATATTATTTATAGTTCATATCAATTAACTATTTTACTTTTTTTAATTTTAGGAGAAATCACAAAAATTTATTTTGGTCGAATTTCATTGTGTAAAATAACTGCTGAATACTTGAATACTGGATTAAATATCTTAGGTATTACTACTGTTTCTCGTATGTAAAAATGTTTTTCTAGAATAAATTAAAATATAAAATTTTTATCAACATTACCTTGTTTTTTTTTTTTTCAAAGAATTTGTATTTTAATAAATTAATTAATTTTAAGTACATACAAATTATTAGGGGTTACTAAACCCCCTAAACTAAATTATTTTTTGGTATGCCACTGTTTCTCACAACTATGCCATATTTTTATGTGTGAATAAAGTTTAAAGACCTTTTTTTATCACTTTGAATAAATTTGCACCCCTCAATGAAAATTTATAGCTATGCTCCTTTTAAGTCTTATAAACCTAATAGCACCAAACTTTCTCGATACCTCTTAATATTTGATTCCTGATAGGAATCACACGTCGGATCCTATATTTGCATACCCATAGTACTCCTAATTAATAAGAGGCACAGTACGAGATTAGAACTCGCTACCCCAGGCGTTTTAGAGATGAACTTTATCACTTGGCGACTTATCTATGATCCAGATACACTTCCGTACAAGTTGATAATGTGATATTCTACTAAAGGAAATACAGTACTGTGTCATATTCTCCCCTCATGCCGCACACACCAGGTACTATCATTGATTGAATGGAATCCGAACGTTTTATGACCATGCTTGACGCCGTTTAAGCTATCTATTTTTTTAGTAGACTATATAGAAAATAAGAAAAAAACTGGTGAAAAACAACTTTAAGTCTAATACTTTAAAAGTTATTAGGATTATAAAATAAAACTGGGATATAGCGAGTAAGTTGCTATTTTTATCATTGGTTATTTCTCAACTTCTTCCTCCCGCCTTGGTGCAAAATTGTGAATATCTTCCATAGTATTACACCAAAACTTGTTATAAATTAGTCATTGTCTTAATTAGATCATTATCTATTTTCTAAGCTAGTAAGATATATATGATACTATTTGAAAAAATAAAGTTAACATCTTTATAATACATAAGGAATGAACTTGAAATATTTTTTAAAATATTTTATAACAAGTAAATAGAAATAAATATGTAACTAGTAAAAACCGAAAAATAATGTTTCAAAACACAATACTTTAAGAGAAATTGAGCGGCTAGCGTTAAAATAATCACCTTGTATAGTTTGGTAGATATTCGTATAATAGAAAGTACGTAACTTTGAATTAAATAAAATAAACGTTCTGATCTTTTAAATTTTTTCTAAAAATAGTTTACACAAAGCATTCAAAAGTAAAATATTTCTTAACATTAAATTAAATTCAAATACTTTCGTCTTAAAGGATTTTTTTTAATAACAACAAAACATATACTATAAAAAAAAACGGTAGCACAGTGGGGTCGAGGTACAGTGTAGACAAGGCATATATATGACAAGTATAGATGATATTTGACAGTGATTAAAATCACAATCATAAGAAACGCTTCGATGCAAATCTGTAGATAGTGTTTCATTTAGAGAAATTGGTGGATTATTCCAAAAGCAACATCAACTCTTATTTCTTTGATTATATCCTAATTAGTAGTTCTTTGATTTTAAAATATAATATATAAATAAATAATAATTATAATTATTAAATTTAGTATAAAATTGATATTCAATAATTCAATATTGTAATTTAAACNTAAAAGGGAAACATCTAAGGTATTAGTATAAAAACAAATTATGTTGATTTGTTGATTTTTGAAAAAGTTATGGAAGTTTTAAGAAAAAAAAGTGAAAAAAATGACAAAATTTACCGATTTTTAAATTTGTAATTTTTTTGGATATTTCCCCCATTTGCGGGGAACGAGGGAAAATTTTTAAATTTTTAAGGGTAATGTCTTCAACTAGATACGATTTGTGATCTTTTGACGTATTGTTGAAAGAAATCGGTCCAGTGAGAGCTGAGAAAAAGTGGCAACAGACATAAAAACACATCATAGTAAAATTAATACCTTTTCAGCTTCGCATCGAAGCTAAAATGAAATAAATATTTTATTAACGTAAACAAATCAATAATTAACAATGTTTTAAAATAACGATATTGCACATGTAAGTATATAATAGACTGAATATATTTTCACTTATATTCAAAATGTTAAGTGTGTATGGAGAAAACTCTTCACGTGTATTGCTCAGACAATACTTTCCAGATTGTTGGTTTCTGATGGAAGAATACTTAAGGATTTTGGCATTTTGGAACTTTCAATAATAGTTGTTGTACCGTTTTCCATTAAATCTATATAATAAAAAAATGTTAATTTATGAGAAAAAAAATTAATTTTTAATATTAACGTAAATATTTTGACAGCTTTTTGTGTGCATTTCAGCGAAATAAATAATATATTTTGTTTGACTTTTCCTATAAATTTCTCATTCAATTGTATTCCAAAAGAAATATCAGATTACAAGTATAACTTACGCGATAATGACGGAGAGGGGCCTTGAGAGTTGCTGAACATCTTCGTGCTGTACCCAGAATCATTACACGGTATGTCATCATGTCGACGAGTTGTCAGATAATCAAGTCGCCACCGCAAGTTTGGGTCCATGACTGCTGCATCAATGGTACATTGAGCCCGGAAACGGTCTTCCAACACGCTATCGTTATCACTGCAGTCTCCCTCTTCGGTTACCTGATTACAAATTTTTTCATTAAAATTAATTTAAAAAACCCAGCACAGCGGGGACGTGACATAGTTGAGTCAAGTATAGATGATATCTGACAGTGATTAAAATTAATACCATAAAAAACGCTTCGATGTAAATCTGTAGATAGTGTTTAATTTTAAAAAATTGAATTGGATTATTTCAAAAGCTACATGATCTCCTATGTCCTTATTTATATCCTTATTATATATATATATGTCAATAATACAATATATATTATTATATAGAAAGAATACTGGATTTCGCAGTATCGTATGATCTTGCTATGGTTAATACATATTTTATAAAGAGAGAAGAACATTATATAACATATAAGAGTGGGAAGATTAGATCACAGATCGATTATTTTATGTGGAAGAGAGAGAGAGCGTAAAGCAAGTAAAAGATTGAAAAGTTTTACCAGGCGAGAGTGTAACTACACAACATAGACTAATGGTAATGGAGTTGTGGTGTACCGAAAAAAGAATAAACAAAAATAGAAGAAACAGAGGAAAAATCGAAGATCCGATGATGGAAATTAAAACGGGAAAATGAAAAAGAGTTTGTAAAGACGGTAAAAGAGAGGATGTGTGGAATAGATTTGCTAGTTGTGTAAAGAATACTGCAAAGGTGAGAGTAGGAGTGAAATGCCAGGATACAAGGAAACCGGGTGGTGGGATGAGGATGTTCAAAAAATCATAGAAAGTAAGAAAAATCAATTCAAAGTATGGCAGAAGAGCAAAAGGAGAGAAGACTGGATGGAATATAAACGCTTGTGCAAAGAAGCCAAGTGTGCAGTAAGTAAGGTGAAGTTTAAAAGGTATGATGAGTTGTATGATAAGCTAGGAACAAAGAAAGGCGAGAAAGAAATCTATAGACTTGCAAAGATAAAAGATAAAAGGTCTAAAAATTATTATTATAAAAGATGTGAAAAAAAGGTGGAAAGAGTATTTTGAAAAATATTTGAATGAGGAGTACCCAAAAGAGACATTAGAGGATATCTCGTGGAATGAGGGACAGCTAAATTTAATTAGTGATAAAGAAGTATGGGAGGCTGTAGCATGAGGGAGTATAGATTAGCGTCATTCGTGGATAAGATAAGAGAAAATAGACTTAGATGGTTTGGTCATGTTATGAGAAAAGAAGAATCGGAAGCCGTAAGAACAGTTGTAGAAATGAATGTTGATTGAAGAAGATGTAGAGGAAGACCAAAAAAAGAGATGAAGAGATGTTATTGAATGCGATATGAGGACATCTAATATGAGCGTAGGGGATGTGGGAGATCGTGTCAAGTGGAAGTTTAGGATAAGAGTGGCCGAACCCAAGTAGTTGGGATTAAGGTGAGGAAGAAGAAGAAGATATCCGTATAATATATAATTCTTCTATATATATATAAAAAGGGAAATGGCTTTATTTAAAAAAATTTATGCCGAATGAAAGAGGTTTATAAATAGTATTTATCATAAAAAAATTGTATTGATCCATACATTTTTCAAAAAGTTATAGCGTTATAAAGTTAAAAAAATAAAAAAGAATTTTTTTAAAAAAATCGTATTTTTTTTTATTAACTTTGATATTCGTTTTCATCGTGAAAACAAAATAAAGTCCGAAATTTTTTTTTCCATTATAGAGTATATTACATAAGCTTTAATTTAAGGAATATATAAAAGTGTCAGTATTTCCGGAACACTTTCAAAAGTTAAGTTGTAAAAGTTAATTTTTTGTAAAAAAGTTGTCATTTTGAATCCCCCCCGTGAGCAGGTAAAAGGTCCGATTTGTAAAAAAAATATATCAAATGATAAGTAAAGACATTATGCATCTATGAAAAAAAACTTATATTGATTTGGTAGTTTTTGAAAAAGTTATAGCACTTTTAATAAAAAAAAATTGAAAAAATTAGTGATTTTTAAATTTGTAATTTTTTGGAGATATCCCCTATTTACGAAGAACGAGGGAAATTTTTTTAATTTTTGAAGGTTATATCTTGGACTATATACGATTTGTAATCTTTTGATGTACCGTTAAAAGAAATCAGTTCAGTGAGAGCTCAGAAAAAGTGGCAACAGATACACAAAAAAAAGAAAAAAACACATCATAGTAAAATTGATACCTTTTCAGCTTCGCATCGAAGCTAAAAAATTATAATGATTATAAATTAAAATTTTTTTTGATAAATGGCTCCATTAAAATTTATCAAACCTAATATAGTGCATGTAATCAAAAAGAGTTTAAATAATTAAAGATAACAATCAAATCTTTAGTCTTAGCCCTATAAGCTTTAATCAGATATTAGTAATTATAGTCATTTTACTATATGTCATCTTATAACTATTGTTTTTACATTATTTTTTAACTGATAAAAATGCACAATCAATGTCGAAAAAAATGTAAGCTAGAAATAATCCATACTTATAAAAGTTAATTAAAGGGTACCATTTAAGATATCTACAAATTAAAAAAAAATTATTAAGGTATGAAATTAATTTTTTTAAATTGTCGATTTAAGCCGTCTCTAGGACCATGAATTTGTACGTGTCACAACTTTTAATTATTAAGAAATAATTTTATATTTAGATACTAAAAATTAATTAATTAAAAAACAATGATTTTTTTGTAGCTCACGTCCGCTACCCACAAATTAATGTATACTTGTTTACAAAAGGGGCACCACATCTAATCGCATAATTTTAACCAAATATATGTTGCACTATGGATGTATTGTTATAAAGGATTGTTATTACGAACGCGTAGGCTATATATTTAATTATGTTCTATTTAATAACCACCTGCTGGAGTTTTTCTTTGGATCGTCTCAACTGCTTCTCCACACAGCACAGCCGCCTGTTAATATTGTCCTCGGTTCGGCATATTTGTCGTTTTAACTTCTTTGTATTGTGATCAAGACGGGCTTCTAATTCTTTAAAAAACGGCGCACAATAACACGTATACCCTACACCAACAGGCCCCTTCCTAATATTGCCCGCCAAATCCAGATAGTACTGTTCACCGGCGTGAAGAGGTTCTTCTGGTAAAGAATTTAACTTTGGCTTGGGAAACTCTTTGGTGTCAGGAAAGTAATGACAGCCATACGGTGACCACTGTTTCTTGATGCTTCCTTCGGATCGCTTCTTGCCCTAAAAGAGTCATAAAAACTTGTATACTTATTAAAGCATAATATACTTATTATGCTTATTAAATAGTCGGGTTATAACGTTTACAATAGTATGGGTATTTTCATAAGGAAAATGTTTGCAAAAACACAACAAACATGTATGTAGTAAAAATTCTACCAAACATAAAAACTTATATTATAATTTTCACTTACATTCTTGTGTTCTTTTTTGGCAGATTTGCTATCATTACCCTTTTTCTTGATATAATTCGGATCATTTAAAATGTCTAAAATCTCAGTCAAATTCTTGCGTTCCGCTATATCTTTGGCTGTTTCATTTTGCTAAAATATACATAATTAAATGTAGAATAATTAAAACCATCATAAATGAAAAGTATACATTCATAATATTATTTAACAAATTATGCCACATAATATAAAAGATTCAAGGAAAACTCCTATCAAGCCTTCTTTTTTTTATTTTATATAAGTTAGGCATATGACTAGAAATACTTTTGCGATATTCACAATAGAGAAGGTTATTGTTTATATTAATACATTGCCCGTGTAACAAAGCTATATGTAAAAAATTGTCAATGCAAGAAAAATACTGCCTTTTTAATAATTAATAGCTAGTTAGGGGGAAATTACTACAAGTAATGTTGACAACCAACATTATATTTGATGATACTTAATAACTGTATGTATGAATGTAATGTATCAGTAAGCCATCTATATATAATACACTATTATATATATATATATAATCAGAAATAATAATTACCTTATTTCTCAGTATTGTATTGCACTTGGCTTGCAAGATGATTTTGGTCAATTTCCTTCTACCCATAGCTGAGGCAATGTGTAACACAGTATCGCCATTCTATATAAGAAAACATCAAATTGAAATCATAACTCGGACATAGTACAACATAATCCTAAAAACTATTACAATTGATTTTTACCTTATTTTGTTCGGATACTTTGCATTGAGCACTTAGCAGAATTCTGAAAACACCAGCATGTCCATACCTGGCACTTGTGTGGAGAGGCGTATCTCCGTACTAAAAATAAAGAAAGTCATGTTCATTTTTGTTCTCCGAATTTTAAATTATTAAATTGAAAAAAGACAATTTTTGCAACTAGCTACGGGTATTTTAATACTTGTGAAATATAAACGCAAAATACTACAGCTTGCAAAAGTATTAAATATAATATAATTCATAGTATAATAATAGCTAAAGCATAAGGTAAAATAATTCATTGAACAGCCGACCAGTGCTACGTAAACGTGTTATTAAAAAGTCAAACATGTCAATTATTTAACTTTTTACAGTTTAATAATTTTCATCTACGATAAAAAAAAGGATAAGATTCCATCTGTGTTTTTAGTGAATTAATTATTTTATATTGTTGTTGTTTTGAAACCTGAAGATGAAATAATTCGAAACATTGTAGTTACAAATGTTTTATAAAAAAAAATACGTTGTAGTCACGGCGAATATTTTGACTGTATGTGAATTCGTGCAAACTCTGAACAAAGATAATTATCTTTAAAAATTGAAATGATATTAAGAATTCAGGAATTATTAACGCAAGTAGAAGTTATTTCTGTCTTGGGCGCTTAAAAATGTAGCAAATAGTTGTTTCAATCGTATCAAAAGGGTACCACGAATTCAGCAACTACATGTATTTCTTGACTGTCTATTACAAAAAAACATTGTACTGCCTAAGAAATCTACGGAACTCGTGTAACGCGTTAGCGCGAAATACGACTACTTAAACTAGGAGCTGATAAATGATTTCAATCGTGTCATATGAAACTAAAAGTTCACCAATATTTTTAATGTAATGTTAGTGTTGTTTAATTACTACCCGCCTATGAATATAAATAGCTATAGAATAAATTGTGCTTTATTTTCATAGACCAGTCTACACTTCTTTAGCGGTTCTTACTCGATTGTCATGTAGCAAATAACCGCGAGGTATACCAAAAGCAACTTTCCCGGGATAGTGTTCATCGTTATTTACGCCTACAAATAATAAAAAAACACATTTTGGTACTCACGTTATTTTGAATGTCTGGATCGCCCCCAGCAAGTAACAGTTCGCGGCAACTTTGATTGTGACCATTTTGGCAACACAAATGTAGCGCAGACGAACCACCGAAATTCTTGCGATCCAATTGGGCACCAGAATGCGCTAGTAATGCGACCGTTTTGCTGTAACCTTTCCAACTGGCTTCGTGTAATGCCGTGTTTCCATGCTGATGGACAAACAATAGTTATGTAGAAGAACTAACGACTAAGCCCCGGAAATAAGTATACGACAAAAAAAAAAGATGATTTATTCCCACGTTACACGAATAAAGTAATCACTTTATATTTTTACCGTATTATATTTTACTTAAATGCCATACTAAAATGTGACTGTAAATAATCTAAAATTAAAAATATAAATTTAAACTCAAAAAACCACAAAAATTACTATTAAATCGTGACTACATATTTTGGGAACAACGTTACCATCATCCGCAGTAAGCACATATTCATAAATATAATATACATTTTTTTAACAAATCACATATTTGTTGTATAGCACACTCAATAAAAAAGCCATTCATTTGAAAGCGATATTTTTATAGGCCTGTAAACCTACATTCAAGCAAAACATATACTCCCACATTCCCTGATAACATCCCTGTAAACCGACTATCTATTTTCAATTATCAACTCACCACACTATCGTGTAAGTTCACTTCTGCTCGATGTCGCAATAACAAACGCAACACGTCGAGATTTCCCTCAGCCGCAGCTATTTGTATTGCCGAATATCCAACTGCATCCTGCGAGTTCACGTCCACAGACTTGTTGGTCAAAAGCTCTGCAATAGAAGAACAGTCGCCTGTTGAAGCGGCGTAGTGTAAAGCCGTCCTACCATCTACTAGCATCGGCAGTTCTTCATCCGGGTTCAGATCTACCATCCCAAGAATTTGGCATTATCTGTTTCAAAAACAATTTGGATCGTTAATGTTCTCCGTCGAAGGATAACAGAATTACCACATTTTTACACAGTCTCGTAAAAGGGAAACAATTATCGGATGTCACATTAAAAACTAAGTGAAATACTTTAATCTCTTAAATCTAAATGTGGTACAGTGAAACTGTAAGAAATACAAAAATAACACTAATATGTAAATAGTTTGGACGAGTTACTTTTGTACTATAAATTACGACATTTAACGGCTATATTCGATGAAAGTCGAAAATATAATCATCTCCAGTTAATGATTATAATAGTGAAATTTCAACACGTAAACATTTAATTAGAAAAGTGTGTAATAAAATGGAAAACGTACTTCAATGCCTACACGGATTTATATTTTTTAAAAGGTAGAGAACGATCAAGTGTAATGAATGTGTTGTAGGACATGGTTTATTATCCGATACAAATTAAGTTGTTAAACGAATGAGTCCTTTCTACCGTTCAATGGGTAACTTATACTAGCTTTTAAATATATTTATTATACATGGCAGTGTTATAAAATTTAACACAATAATTGATTGTCAACGTTTCTACCAGGATAGTTTATACTTTTTAGAGAATTGATAAAAAGATTGACATTTATGATATAATTTCAGGTGTTCTTCTGATACCGCTAGTACGACATTAAAACAGGATGTCGTTTATAAATAATAAAAACCGGTTTACTTACTATGAATGAAATCGATTTATACACATAAATGTATAAATAATGGGTTTTTTAATATCATAATCATAATAGATTATAGGCGCTGTTAAAAATGTTGAATCTTTAGGCAACTTAATTTCTTACCGCATGGTAATATACAAAAAAATGATATTACTTTATTTTATAAGAAAAACACGCTTACTGGTAAATTCGTGAAATAGTGAAAATATATTGTCAGCGTCATGCTCAACACTATTATTATTATTATTACACCAAAGCTGACTGAAACAATCTTAACGGAATAAAAATATTTTTAGGTTTTGTTACACGTTACGGAAAATTTCAAAGCTGATAAAAATCTTATGGACAGTTGTTAACTATTCTTCATGAACATAACATACATAATTTAATTAATGTTTCCGCGATCCATAACTAACCGCTAAGAAAAACCGGTGTTTAATCTTATAAAAAACTAGATCAAGTATTTTCTATGAAAAATTAAAAAATTCATATATAACATTAATAGCGCAAACAGACATGTACACTTCTTGTCTGAAATTTATCATACTTAACATTTTGTATTACTTTAGCAAGACATACAAAAAAAAAAATAGAAATTCTAGATCGTGACTTGTGAGTAGCTTGCGGTGTAGAAAACAAAAACTAGTTAACTTTTGATTGATTAACATTTTCTAAATTTAAGTTCGAATTTAAAATTGAGTCTGGTTCGACTATAAAAATCAGGGTTTGTAACATCGCTACTAAAAATACAACAAAGTGTCCCGGTACGTTTGGGAATATCGACTAAATAAATTCTCGGTAACATGAAACTGTATAAGAAGCTGTCCATAACACCATATAATTTTTTGTTTCGATTTTTTTTTTATGTTACACATTCTTTGATACATAAATGGATCAATGATGGGCATGGAGAGAAGTTACAGACTCTCTACCATCGAGCCAGTTATCAACATGTGTAACGCATCGTCATTTGCATATTTATTCAGTAGACAGTGATCGGTCGAACTGTGTTTGATTTCGATCATTACATTGTTATGAGAATCGTTTCCAAACACTTTCAGCATTGTCTGAAACGATACACGTAGTCGTACAGGTAGCGAAAAACATCTCTTTGGACTTACTCATTGTACACTATAATAACCACTGAACTGAAGCACTTAAGTATAGTGTACGAACTGTACGTAGTCAATTCATTTCTAACAGTAAACAGTTGTTCTATGTACATTTTTCTATATAAAACAAAAATATATAATGGTTAACGGACAATTGAGAGATGTACCTCTTCTTCTAGTTGCATGAACGAATTACTACAAGTGTACTATTAAAAAGACATGTATGTACGCGACCGGCGTGGCGTATCAAATTTAGAATGAAAAATAATGAATGTTTATACTGTAACTATTATTAATAGTATTGTTAAATAAATACAAGTCTAAAAGTGCTTGTGTGTGTACATATATTTACTATATGTCCATCAACTGGGCGAATTCGGCTCGCATAACGGATTCTTTAACACTGTGCAGATGTTCGGTTGTTGTCCCGAGAATACGTATTTGTTGAATAAATTATCGTTGCTTGTAATAAATAATAGTTATGATAAAAAAATGCGCGATGATCCGTTTTATTTAGATTATATTTTGACTGCATTGCGACACGTTTCTCGCGAGTGTCCTGTTTTGTAAGTAGAAATCTACACTGTGTTTTTAACGCGTAGTTGTTTGAATAAGATTAAAGTAAAAAAACCAACATCACTAGTCCGCCTAGAAGTCAAGAAATAAAATAATATAAGCTAAATAAATTTGAAAAGATATTAGTTACGATCTTTATAGTTGATTAAATTGTACTAGACTTTCATTATTGTGATTACACTATATCACACTTATATTGTACAATTGAATGAAAAAATGTACTATTGTCCCGAATTAAATTTGAACGACTTGAGAATAGACCGATAAATAATAAAAATCTATTTTACACTAATCGATGGTCACAATAATCAAGATGAATTTAATATCATTGAATTTCATCAGAAAATATATGTAAAATCCAAATGCACTCATATGGTAAGAGGGATTAGCCGGACATATGTGTTCAAACGATAGGTTATTAAAGAAATTTTTCCGTGTTAAGTAATAGATCCGCAATAGTCGTATTAGTTTCATACTCATACAATGAAATTCTCAAATGATAATTTATAATGTCGCTGTATAAGGAAATATCAATTTGCGTTGGGTGAAAAATTGAGGCTCTTAAAAAATATCGGAAGGCAGATAAATTGTAAATACCGAAGGTGTGCCTCATGCTGGAACTCATGAGATTTTGAGTACTATGTAATGCTAAGTATAGTAAAATAATAATAAAAGTATCAGATTGTAATGAAAGTTTAATGGAATTGGTTGGTGGGCGCAAATCGTTGTCGGTAGACGAGATCAAAGAAGTGCGCCTACGCACAATACTGGCAATATATCCACCAAACGAAATAAAAGATAACTTAACAAGGACACATGACAAAAATGCTCACGAACGGTAATATCAATGCATTTATAAACATATGTATTTGAACCTTATTGTGTTTTAAACGATTTTCTTGTTATGTATGTGAAAGTAATTGATTGTACGCACATTTCTATACGAATGAAAATGTATAATATCAATAATGACACTAATTTCATTTCGATAATACACGTGACATACTGAATGGGAGGAGGTAAACGGTTCAAATCCATCACCCGTTGAATTTAAAATTTAAAACGAACAATAATAGAATACAACAAAGTCTTATTCGTAACCGTGTGGTAAATTTTAAAACACTTGGTCACGATATGCCCCGGGCACAATTATTATTGTTGTGTTTGTATACATTATAGGAACACCGTGGAAGAGTTTTTTTACACATACCGTTCAGAGTTTTATCTTGCAGTGAAATCCGGTCTCCTAAAATTCTGATAAAAAATAACGTTTAGCTATCCTAAGTTCAGTATGTACTCTGTACACTCGGTAAAATTATTGCATAACACTCGTTAATAGACGTTAAAACAGACTAATAAAATTGCATTAAAAACATTTTTTCCCATTGAAATGACAGGGTGGTCAACATCCGGAACGCTCGTTTTGGTCTGGCACCGCCGAGAAAAACTCGTTTGTTTTCATTACACATTTCTTTATCTCTGTAGAATAGAACGCTATTACTTCCTCTCATAGTTTCTATATTTAACTGATAACATTTTTACCGGTTTTACATCATAATTGAGTTATATCATTTGATCTGTTCAAAAGCCATCAGAAAACCCGAAAACGAATATTTCGCTTTGAGTTATGTTTTTTTACTTTCTCTTATATTTTATCCATTCGATCCGCTAACGTGTTCCTATAATTTGATGTGTTTGTGTGAAATACACACACTTTTAAAAAAATAAATCGTTCTTATTCGTTATACTTAAATTGGCAGAACGAAAGCAAAATAATAGTACTATATTACTGTTATTTTCCTATAAGAGCAGAGAACACAAAACAGATTTTTCGGTTTAATTGATCACAATATTCAATGTTTGGATTATGAACTAATAAGGTAGAAATATTTTTATTTTTGATGGCATTTATGAAGACAACATTTTTTTTTATTTCAAGAACCATTTAGTAATTGATATGTTCTGATGTAGAATTACCATAATAATCTTTTTCAAGAATATTCTTGGTCATATTCTCAAAACACGAGAATATTATTTTTAGCTGGGTTTAATAACATAGTACATTATTGTAAAATGGTGCTGACTTATCAAACAAGTATAAAATTGGCCACCTTAAAATTTCTCTATTTATCTTCAGATAATAGAATCAAGCGAAGTTGGAGGAGATAAAATCTACTTCGAATAAAAGTTAACCAATAATTCAATTTTATGTTTTCGAATATACAATTTTTTGATTACAACAATACTGTAGAATTTTTTTGAGAAAGTTATTATATTATTTTTATTTTTTCACAACAAATGAATCATTAAGAAGCCATAGAAATATAAAAAAACTAAGGAGCTACAGAAATTTAAAAATATTGAGAAGCCATAGAACTATATTTTGACTTGTATATTTGATTGAAAATTCTTTTTATTTTTATATTATGTAACTATTAACCGAGTAAAAATCAATTTTTTTCGTCATAATTTTTCAATAAAAATTACTTCAAATAATTTTTTAGTTGGATTACATATTCTTAAAAAAATATATTTAATTTAATTTTTTTTTTTAAGAATACATACTCTTGTATACGATTGCATTAATGCTAAATCAGGTTTATAGAGTAAAATATAAGAAGTTTTTATTTCTTAACTTAAAATTTTAATTAAAAACGATTATTTGTTTTTTTTAGTATGTTGTAATCACATAACATTAGATGCTAGTAATTGTTTTAAAATGAACATATTGTATGTAATACATTATAAACTAGGGGTAATGTTGATTAATTTTGCTAAACGATCCGAAACAAATATAATTATCATAATAAAGAACATGGGTGGTAAACTCATCTAGCATCGAGTTCTGGACATCAGTGGTACGTAATAATAGTTGTAGAACGATAAAAAATAATAATTACACGCATTAAGAACTTTTTTTTAACTGGAATGTCCAACAGTCGAGAAATATGTCCGAACGTGATATAATGTAATCTACTTGGTGGGTGGTTTTAGGTTTCGAAAAATAATAAGTTATATTTTAAATAATAGTAGCTTCGGGTCAAAAGTATGTAGTAGTCAACTGAATAATTATTGTTCTTATTACTATAAGCATTATTATAATAAACTATGCAAACTAACTACTGACTTTTATATTTGTGTGTATGTTTATTACGAGATTTAATTAAACTGGCACTTTGGTGGGTTATATTTTTTTAACTAAACCAAAAATTTATAATTAGTAACATTTTATGTATGTTGATAAATAAAGGTACAGGGGAAAAACGATATTAATACACTTTTTCGATTTGCACTGAAAAAAATAGTCAGATTTTTTTTTTTTTATTGTTAAATCAATCATATTTTTGTTACTGAAACAAAATATTTATTTGCTTGATTCTTTTTTAATTGTACTAACAAACATTTTTATTTAACCAACTCAAAGTTATTGTCGGCTGAATATCAAAAATAAATTTGTTCATTTTACTAAAGTATTTTTTCATTATGATTTTATTTGATAACCCATTTATAATAGTATTAAGTAATGAAGTACTTCCAAAGAAAAATGTATCATTTTTTAAACAATTAAGTGTTTAATTTTGTTTTAACATTAAAAATGTCAGAATTTAAAATTGTATTTTTTTTCTTTTGAAAAATTTACAGAAATGGATAGTATTGTTTTTTCCTCGTACCCTCCAAATAAACAATAGACTCGGATATTTGATAAAAAAAAAAAAAGTTCATTAATGGAGAGTTCTCCTAAGAAATGATTGTACTTAAATAAAAAAATTTTAATTCCGAGATTCTAGGTATTTAAGAGTAACAATGAGCATGATGACTTAACAAAGCAAATAAATGTTTAGATAAATAAAGACCTAAAAGCATTTTTAATAGTAATAAATTTTTGAAGATCAAACAATTTTCTTTTTAACAAAAGCAACATTATATGTAGTTATTATGAACCAACTCTCATATATGGAAGCGAAACTAAAACAATAACCAAACAAATCAGGAAAAACTTGATAATATTCGAGAAAAAATAAGTAGAATCTATTAATAAATTAAAAGGTAAATGGCGAAAGAGATAACAAAATAGCGAGTACAAGGAATGATGTTTCTAGTTACAATTGAACACAAAAGTTACAATGATTAAGCGATTTAATGAAACGAAACAATGAAGGTAGCCATGCAATTGAAGAAACTTTAAGGTCGATTGACATAAAAGAGAAAGGTTTCTAAAGCTTAAAAGTTGACATTTTGAGAGAAGTATATAAATATAAGTTGTACAAAGAATTTTAATTTTAGCAAAAGAACTTAAAAAACATTGACAACTATCTATTTTCTTATTAATTGTCACTTTAGCTAACCTTTAATAAAGAAAATTTTTATCGGCAAAAATATTTTAGTACTTTATCTGGCTTTTTGAGTTTAATATTTTTTAGTTTTAGATTAATATTTGTAATTTTAAATAACATTATCCACGAGTGATCAATTCTTATCGTGGTTAAATTAATATTCATATTTCATATAAATCGTAATTAAAAATAAAAAACCCAGCACAGGGGGGTCGCGGCACAGTGGTGACGTGGCATAGATGGATCAAGTATAATGATATCTGACAGTGATTAAAATCACTATCAAAAAAAAACGCTTCGATGCAAATCTTTAGATACTGTTTAATTTTAAAAAACTGGTGGACTATTCCAAAATCTACATTATCTGCTAGTTCATTATTAATATCCTAATTAAGATGAAGTATGTAGAATGAAAAAGGGATTATTAAAAAATATTATTTCTTATAAAAAAATAATGTTGATCCATACACTTTTAAATATGTCATAGAATTATAAAGTTAAAAATGTAAAAAATAAAATCGAGAATTTTCACATAATAATAGCATTTGGTAGCCATTTTCACCGTGAAGATAAAATAAAGTCCGAAATTTTTTTTTCGCATAATAAAGTAGATTACATTAACTTTAATTTAAGATATAAATAAAATTGTCAGACTTTCCGGAACAGTTTAAAAATTTAAGTTGAAAAAGTAAATTTTTTGTGAAAAAGTTGCCATTTTAAATCCCCCCTTGTGGGCAGGTAAAGGGTCAGATATAAAAAAAATATATACCAAATGATAAGTAAAGACATCATGCATCTATAAAAAAAAAATTATATTGATCCATACATCTTTCAAAAAGTTATAGCATTATAAAGTTAAAAATATAAAAAATAATTTTTTTACAAAAATCGTATTTTTTTTATAAACTTTGATGTCTGTTTTTACCATGAAGATAAAATAAAGTCCGAAATTTTTTTTTACCAT